TGATCGACAAGGTCAACGACCTCGACCTTGCCGGCATCATCGACGCCCTCAAGCCTCTCCTCAAGACCGAAGAGATTAAGAACATCGTCAGCTTGCTGCACAACGCCGAGGACCTACTGTCTCAGGAAATGGTCAAGAGTCTCAAGTCGTTGCTAACAAAGGCCGGCCCGCTGATTGACAAGGTCAACGATATCGATCTGGCTGGCATCATCGATGCCCTCAAGCCGCTACTCAAGACCGAGGAAGTCAAGAAGATTGTCAGCCTTCTCAACAATGCCGAAGACCTATTGTCTCAGGAAATGGTCAAGAGCCTCAAGTCTCTGCTGACCAAGGCCGGCCCGCTGATCGATAAGGTCAGCGGCCTAGACCTCGGTGGCATCCTGGACGCTCTGGCGCCCCTTCTCAAGTCGGAGGAGATCAAGAAGATCGTCTCCCTGCTGCACAACGCCGAGGACCTGCTGTCGCAGGAGTCGGTCAAGAACATCAAGAGCCTGCTCAACAGCGCGGGCCCGCTGCTCGACAGCCTCGGCGAGCTCGACCTCAAGAAGCTGTTCAAGCAGATCGGTCCCATCCTCGAGGAGGTGGGCAAGCTGGATCTCAAGGGCATGCTCGAGTCCGTCAGCCCGCTTCTCGAGCCCGACAGCATCAAGGGCATCGTCGGGCTGCTGGGCAGCGCCGAGGACCTGCTCACGCAGAAGTTTGTCAACCAGACGCAGACGCTCATCGGCGACGCCCTCCCGCTGGTGGAGGCCATCGCCCAGATCGACGTCAAGAGCCTGGTCGGCAAGGTGAAGCCGCTCCTGGACGCCCTGGACGGCATCGACATCAAGTCGCTGGTCGGCCAGATCGGCCCCATCCTCGAGGCCCTGGGCGAGATCGACTTCGGGAAGCTCATCGGCAGGGTCACGCCGCTGCTCAACAGCCTGGGCAAGATCGACGTCGACGGCCTCATCGACGTGGCGGCCGGCTACCTCAAGCCCCAGAAGCTCAGCGGCATCTTCGGCTTGGTCGACAATGCGGAGGATCTCCTCACCGACAAGTTCGTCAACCAGACGCAGACGCTCGTCGGCGACGCCGTACCCCTGGTCGAGCTGCTCGGCGGCATCGACATCGAGGGCCTGCTCAAGCTGGTCAAGCCTCTGCTCAAGGAGCTCAACGGAATCGACCTGGCCGGCATCATCGACTCCCTCAAGCCCCTCCTCGACGCCATCGACAAGATTGACGTCAAGGGTCTCGTGGATGCCGCGCTGCCCATACTCACCCCGGAGACTGTCAAGGGTATCGCAACGCTGCTCACCAACGCTCAGAACCTGCTCAGCAAGGACTTTGTGTCGGATACATCGGAGCTCATCGGCGACGCTACACCGGTATGCTCTCTTCTTCCTCCTCTTCCCTTGACCCACCTTTCCCTTGACCCCCCATGCATCTTCTCATGATGAAACGAACATATGCTGACTCTGTAACTTCTACAGCTCGTTGCGTCTGTTGCGGACCTCTTCTACGCTATCATGAAGGAGCTTACGAGCGCATCTGGTGACGACGGTTAATTGACGGCAGAATTTTATAAAAGAGTAAGAGATGATTGTCTTGTCTGGTTTTTACGAGTTTTAATCTGCTCTTGGGGGGTTTATGTGTTTGAACGTAATGAATACCACGGACTAGTGAGGCGGTAAATGATAGTAATTGCATATAATGTACAAGTTCACTTTTTCTTGTAATATTCTCATCATTGTGATGCTGTATTCTGTATTATATCCTCAGTGTAACACTATGGGTTTTCATCTTGGGGAGTAAGTAATATCTGTATCGGATGATGTCTCATTGAGCAACATGCCATGTTATGGGGTTGTTGAGACCGGGGCAGTGTAGATACAACGCGGATTCCGTATGCGCGTCCATCTGAGCGAGTATGCCCTCTTCTGAATGTCGTGTTTGCATATATGAAATGGTTTGCATATGAAATATTTAGGTCTCTTCTACTAATAAATACCTCGGCTGTGTGCAAATATTTCACTTCACACGCCCAGGATCCCATTAGAGGGGGGTTTCTGTTTCTAGACTGTTCATAGCAAGATGTCACGTATTACATCGATATGTAGGCTGTCAGTCGTTCTGTCTACCGTAACATCTCCTCTCCCCCACGTTTTCGTTTCTTCGTATGGCGAATCGACACTAGTGATGCAGTTGCCGAGATGTGATGTCCGGGGTTGACCTCTTCCCCCAGGTCTGATTTACGCGATACCGCCAATGAGGTCAAGGCTAATTGGAAAGAAGTCCTCGCGTGTGGCGGTACTTTCTTTGGGCAAAGAGAACTTCGGAGGCCTTTGTTCCTCTTCTTCCCTCTTCCCTGTCAGGTCTAACGATCAACACTAAGCACTAGTAGGCGGGGAAAGGAGGGAAACAAGAGGGGCCCAGACGACGCACGTACAGCTCCGCGGACTGGGCTAGTCAAGTCTTGCCTGCGTATAATTCTGGGGTTTTGTAACGTCGGTTCACCAGACCCGTTAGGTTGTTGGTGAACCGCTGTCCCGGAAACTCTTCCAAAAATAAAGGGTGGGTAGAGCTTGCGAGGTATGCAGAGTAGCATCGTACGGGGATGATTCCTTCTTCTCTCCTGGTTCTTTCTCTTTTGACTCCCCGTTTCCTTGTTGGTGGTTAGTTGAGGAAAGGCGACTGGTTATAGACAGAGTTGTGTAGGTGAACATCAGGGCACAATTCGGGGGAGCTATGATTATAGAGGGATGGCATCAAGAGCCGAGACCCCGGATGGGTTAGGCAATACGAGGCTTGCGAGCATCTTGAAAATTGGGCTGCGAGGCTGATGGCTGGCGCTGCGCACGCCGGGGGGGGGGGAAGGGAAGTGTCAACTTGAACTCAAAGCAGAGGAGTGTGTGTGTGACTTGTGACAGCCTCGAAGGGGCGATCATCACCAATACCCGCCATGTCTCTGGACTGTTACTGTTTCTCGGGCCTCTCCACAGCTGCATGGCGTCTGCCGTGCGGGTGAGTAGGAAGAAGCACCCCAAGTTCAGCGGTACTTGACTCTAGTGGCATGCCATGAGAGAAGTTGGTCCGGATGGGGGACGCGATGTGCATGACAATAACTTGTATGAGCAGGAACTGGTCCGTACAATGACGCACGGCGCACATCATGGTCCAGGGCAGGGGGGAGGGAGACGGACAGGGTGAGCGAACCGGATACGTACCTCCACGTACCCGCCTTGTACCGGATCAAGTACCACGATACAAACAAGATACATCGACCCTTGTCGAGGTAACATTGTCCTACCGTGGTAGTGCTAATCTCCCCGCGTCGCCGGAGACTGTTGCTCTACTGCGTATGGATCAGCGCATGTGAGAGGTCAACACGGGACCGAAAATGTGTGATGGTAGCTCGACCAGGGATATTCGGACTGTTGGGGTGGTAATATTGCAACCCATGTTCAGCTTTTTTTTCTTTTTTTTTCTTTCTCTCCTTTACTGGCTTGTTCTCCCTCTCTTTCTTTACCTTGGTGTGGGAAGAAGAAGGAGGATGATGATACTACATGTACATGCGGCTGCTGTTCTCATGTCGTTGCCCTGCTGTTGCTTCTAGTCCGCGGTTCTGGTTGTTGTCTCTGTTTGAAACCCACCTCGGTCACTCGATTACTCACTATTGACTTCCCTTATCTCTTCTCTTCTCTCTTCTAGGAGAGGAAGCGGAAGGGTGATATTCATTCACTCATTGACCCATCCATACACACACACGCACACACATCACCCATACACGATGGCTTCAGAAACCTCACCAGCTACGGCCACTGCGCCGGACGTGGCCAAGGCTGCTGGTAGCGCAACCGGAGGAGGCGACAATGCTGATGCTGCTACCGATACGGCTGCTCAGGACACGGCATCGTCAGTCGACGATCAGGTGTTGGAGAAGCCGGCACCGACACCGACGAAGAAGCAGAAGCTCAAGAATCACTGCGCCAAGTTCTGGTGGGTGCACGTCTTGGTTGTTCTGGTGCTGTTGATCATCCTGCTACCGATCCTGTAAGTTGGACTCATAGCGCGCCTCAGATCTCATACCGTCCAAGGTGGCGTGCAAGTACTGACTGGAGAGCAACGCCAGCTTCACCGTCATCATCCCTGCCATTGTCCAGGATGTGGTGAATGACCAGAAGCTGCCGGTGTACGACGGGAGGTTGCGGGCTCTGTCATCAAAGTCCATCAACATCACGCTCGACACGATGCTCAACACGCCGCTCGAGGTAGACGTGGGACCGATGCAGATGACGCTCGCCAGCAACGAGGAGGAGAAGGCGCCGGCGTTCCTCAGCCTGGCATTCCCCAAATCCAGGGTTCTGCACAAGACGAACCTGACGGTGCCGCCGCAGAGGATTGACATCCTGGACGAGGACGCGCTGGTCGGCTGGTTCACCAGGCTGTTCGACCAGGACTCGATCGAGGTGCGGGTGGGGTCGCCCCGGTCCAAGGTCCACCTGAACGGGCTGGACTACCACCCCAAGCTGTCGCAGGTGGCGCACCTCCGGGGTCTGAACTACCTGTCGGGCTTCGCGATCCAGGAGATGCACTTCACGATCCCGTCCGAGGGGGGCTACAACATCCGGGGCAAGCTGGACCTGCCCAACCCGGGCAGCCTGGCCCTGTACCTCGGCAACGTGACCATGAACCTGATGGCGGGCGACGTGCAGCTGGGCCTCATCCACGTCGACGAGCTGACGATGGAGCGAGGCACGAACCACCCCGCCTTCTACGGCAACATCTTCTTCGACCGCCTGCTGCCCAACATCGCCGAGGTGCTCTCCGGCCAGGGTCAGTACCTCAAGAACGGCGAGCTGGGCCTGCACGTCTCGGGAAACACCACCGTCATCAACGGGGAGCGCGTGAGCTTCGTCGAGCGCGTCCTCAACGCCAAGAGGATCCCCCTCGGCATCCCCGTCACCACCTTTGTCGGCGAGCTGCTCAAGGCCATGACCGGCTCCGACGGCGGCACTGCCGACCTCGTCGACGTCCTCGGCGGGGCCTTTGGGAACAGGACCCTCATCGACGACATCATGGATCACTGGAAGGGCTCCAGCAGCGCCAGCAAGTTCAGCTCCAGCTCCAGCTCCGGAAGGTCCAAGAGGTCAAACCCCGTCACGAGGAGGCCCATCGGCAGAATGTCCCTCGTCAAGAACATGCTCAAGTTGGGCTTGAGGACTCGCACCAAGAGTCGATGAAGCTATATGACACGTAACATGTTGCCTTTTTTTTTCTGGTTAAAAATGGTGGCGTTTTTGTTTTACCTTTTTTTTTTTCATCTTCTTCTATCCCTTCTTCATTCGTGTCTCAGGGCTTCTTATTCCACGTACTTGATGATGCCCAACGGTAATCTTCTCTTCTTCTATATACAATATAATGATGGCACGGTTTCTTCCAACGTCTTTCTTGACATGGGATACGAGATGCTCATATGCACATGATCTCAACACTCGATTGCGTTCCGTGTTCTTGATCCAATCCGGTGCAGCGTAGTAACTCGCGCACGTACGCATTATGAACAGATTGAATGTCTCATTTACCCCTGGACGCAACGCTCTCTCCCAGCTCCGACCCTCCATGTGACTTGGACGTCTTGTGGGCTAGCGGTTTAGCGTTGAAGTACGCAGGCAGAGCCCCGCGTATATACGACCAGTCGGGATGGTTCTATCTTGTTTTTTCGTCGTTTGCAATCGTCATGCGTGGGAATGGAGGGCAGAGGTAGACGTACGTGTCAGACGACCATCAAGCCCTGGGTCTGGGGCTTTTGGTGATGCTGGCCTCGTAGAGTTGCGCCCACCACGGCGTAAGGGTATATAGACTAAAATTATTCACCGTCACGGTACCCGGCACTCGTTGTTTAGTGGTTATAACGCCGTTCTTATAGGCCAGGTTTTTGCTTGAGACTATGATAAAATGCGGAGGTCGTGAGTTCGATCCTCACCGAGTGCAACGTGCCAACTTTTTTGCCCTTTTCTTTTTTTTTTTTCTTTATTTCTTCTTTTTTTCTTTTTTTTTCCCCAGCATAAACATGGAAAATTGTGGATGATTAATTACTCCCTCTGCTCTTTCCCTCTTCCTTCTTGACTTTGTTCCTTGAGCTAAGCGAACAGATAATACGGGCATGGGTATGGAGATGGTTGTCAATCGATTGTCTATATTTCCACATGCTGAATCATGACCCTTTCGGCTGTATTGTATGCTCATGGTGTGTGCTCATCTTCTTCCAACCATTCTCTTCTCTTCTTCCTCGATGATCTTCTCCTTTTTTTTTCTTCTCCTCCGGTAGGTAGTAAGCAGTTCTCTTCTTGATCCCATAATATCTGCCTCTATAAGTCGGTCTAGATACCCCTGGAGGCCAGCTTGTCCCCCTTGTCCAGGCCATCACAGTTGATGCCGACCATGGCCTCGCCGAGGCCGGTGCTGACGCTGGCGAGCACGTGGGGGTCGCGGAAGTGGGTGACGGCCTGGACGATGGCCTTGGCGCGCTTGGCGGGGTCACCGGACTTGAAGATGCCGCTGCCGACGAAGACGCCGTCGCAGCCGAGCTGCATCATGAAGGCGGCGTCGGCGGGGGTGGCGACGCCTCCGGCGGCGAAGTTGACGACGGGGAGGCGGCCGAGCTCGGCGGTCTGGCGGAGCAGGTCCGGGTCGACCTCGAGGCGGCGGGCGAGCTCGCGGATGCGCGGGAGGCCGCCCTCCTCCAGGGCAGCCCTGGCCTGGGCGATGTCCCTCCTGACCGTCTTGATGTGGCGGACGGCCTCGACGACGTCCCCGGTGCCGGCCTCGCCCTTTGTGCGGATCATGGCGGCGCCCTCGGCCACGCGGCGCAGGGCCTCGCCCAAGTCGCGGCAGCCGCAGACGAAGGGGACGCCAAAGACCGACTTGTCGACGTGGCTCTCGTCGTCGGCCGGCGTGAGCACCTCGCTCTCGTCGATGTAGTCCACGCCCAGGGCCTCGAGGATCTGGCACTCGACGTCGTGACCGATGCGCGCCTTGGCCATGACGGGTATCGTCACGGCCTCCTGGATCTCCCGGATCATGGCCGGGTCCGACATGCGCGCCACCCCGCCCTGCGCCCGTATATCGGCCGGCACTCGCTCCAGGGCCATGACGGCGCACGCTCCCGCCTCCTCGGCGATGCGGGCCTGCGCCGCAGTCGTCACGTCCATGATGACGCCGCCCTTGAGCATCTGAGCCAGACCGGCCTTGACGGCGAAGGATGCCTTGGGAGCAGCTGCGGGGGCAGCCGCGGGGGCGGCGGGCGCTGAAGAAGTGTCGTTGGTCATCGTGTCTGCCTGTGTGTGTGTGTGTTGGGAATGTACGTGCGAGAGAGAGCGGGAGAGGGAGAGGGAGAGAGAGATTCTTTTCTTTCTCTTGTAGGACGGATGTAGATGTGGTTAGGAGGGAAAGAGAAAGAGGGAATTAGTGATGGGAAAAAAAACATGCAACAAGATGAAAATGGGAAAGAAAAGAGAGAGAGAGAGTCACATCACACACCCCTCCGCCGCCGCCTTCCCCCACGAAAAAAAAAAAAAAAAAAAAAAACTTACACGAACACTTTGTGACTGGTAGAATACGGGAACACATACTGAGCCCAACAACATACAGAGAAACAGAAAAAAAAAAAAAAAAAAAAAACACGGCACCGCGCGGGAATCATCGGTTAGCGCTGGCGACACTGGTCATCGGTCCATACTGGTGCAAGTAAAGTAATAGTATTACGGAGGGTACAATGTACGCGGTATTGGAGACTCGGGTAGTTTTGTCCTGTCACTACCACTATCACTACAGACGCACGGTTCCGCTCATCGGAGAAGAGCGCAGCAAGGCAACTCTAACTGCAGACTACTGCAGGTTGTCCATCGATCAAGTCGCGGAGTAGTGCGGAGCAGTTCGGAGCAGCACAGAGAGCAACGCAAGAGTGGCACGGAGGAGGAAGATGGGGAGGCACGGAGTATCCAAGAACGGTGTAGTGTGGAATACTGCGGAATAATCGGACCAGACTCTTACAGGTTTAGCGATCAGCGATACCCCCCCCCCCCCCATTCATCGATGCACGTCTCCGACTAGCCGTTGCAGAGTCTGCCACTCCGTAACTGAAATACTGCACTGGCACCGGTAGAATCATAACGCCCCGTTCCACTCAGGGGGGTTGCCACAATGTGGATATCATAGACGAGTGAGGGGAGGGCGACTGATGATTGTTCTCCAACTTGAGTAGCTTCGCCTTTTTTTTTTTTTTTTTTGGAGCAATGGAGGGGGCACGGTTCGGGAAGAAAAGGGTCCATGAAGTTCGATCATCCAAACCCCACTATTGTTACAGTCATCATCCATCAGTCATGTAATCTTTACACATGTCATACTATATGTGTCATACACTCTCAGTGAGCCCTGTAATATATACTAAATACCCTATTCCTCCTCTGGACCTAAACTGCCCGTCCCCCTACCTAGAAACCGTTTTTTTTTTCTTCAGAGGGGAGGGGGGAGGAGACCTTGGTCACCCTCGACCCATCACGATTGCGATCCATTCACAGTCCGTCTTCCTTTCTTGTTCTCTCATCCATTCACTCACAGACCGACCGACCCGGGACAGCATCCAGGATGCCCACCACTGTAGGCGTCCTAGCCCTCCAGGGCGGCTTCCGAGAGCATCTCTCCCTCCTCTCTAAAGCATCGCACATGCTCCTGGCGTCGTCAGGCTCTGCACGGACAGACTACTCCTTCATCGAGGTGCGCACGTCTGCCGAGCTGGCCCGGTGCGATGCCCTCATCATCCCTGGAGGCGAGAGCACAACCATGTCGCTCGTTGCAGCGCAGACTGATCTCCTCGACAGGCTACGAGATTTTGTAAAGTGCGGATTCCCTCCCCCCCTCTCACCTTCCTCTCTCTTCTCCTTCTCCTCTCCTCCTCCGTCTCCCCCCCTTCCCCCCCTCTCCTCTCTCCCCTATACCATCCATCTTCTGGCCAACCTTGTCTGACGGTGGTGCAGGGTCCAGAAGAAGCCAGTATGGGGCACGTGCGCCGGCCTCATCCTCCTCTCCGACGCGGCCAACGCCACGAAGAAGGGTGGTCAGGAACTCATCGGCGGCCTGCCCGTACGCGTCCACCGGAACCACTTCGGTCGACAGACGGAGAGTTTCGAGGCGGACATGACCCTCCCGTTCCTCCAGGGCCCCCCCACGACGACTGCCTCGGAAGAGGAGGACGGCAAGAACGGTGCCGGTGCCGATGCCGGTACCGAGTCGGACAGGCCCTTTCGATGCGTCTTCATCCGAGCCCCCGTCGTCGAAGAGGTGCTCGACACCCAGACCGTACAGGTCCTGGCCAAGCTGCCGGGGAGGCTGGACAGGGCCGTGCCGGGCGTGTCGCAGGCCAGGACGAAGGACGGCTCGGGAGACATCGTGGCCGTCAGGTGCGGAAACGTCCTAGGGACGAGCTTTCATCCTGAGCTGACGGATGATGCGAGGATACACTCTTGGTGGTTGAGGACTCTGGTTGCTTGATGCTATCTTTACAGGATAGCCTGTAGGGAGGGCCCTTGCTTCTTCTTCCTTCTCGGCCATCATAGCCGGGTAGGAGTGGAAAAAGAAACCCAAAATTTTGGAAAAAATAAAAAATAAAAAGAGGGGGAGAGGGGGGGGGGGGTAGGGTAGGGTAGAAAGAAGGAGACGGAAGGAACTAGACGCTTTGGAATATATGTAAAGACCGTTGGGAAACGAATGACGATGGCGATGATCGGAAATAAAACATTACAATAATATCCCATCAAGTCGCAGTCCATCACCACCTGCAAGAACCACCTGCAAGATCTCAACCCTCCACCACCTTTCCCCGTTGCTGGTCAAAAATGCGGAATGCAAAGACAGTCCAGGGTACGCGTACTACCTACACTGTATGCTGCGAGTTACGCGTACGTTTGTTTTCAACGTTACCGCTCTCTACTCTCCACCCACAATTTCGGTTCTGTTTACTCTCTCGAGACATTGCTATCCACTTACAAATGTCTATTCTGTTTATTCTATGCAACATGACAGCATTGAATAGTCTTTCCATGAGATATCTTGACAACATTGAGTATTATACTTGGACGAGAAAAAAAACCCCAAACTAATTAAAAAAAGAAAACCCCCCATTCGGCTGAATACAACAGGAAGAGATTGTCAGAAGACAAAAGAAAGTATTGAATAAGTCTTTATATATATGAACATCTTGACAACGTTGAATGAGCATTTATACTTTTTTATGCAGAAAAAAAAAGGAAATCGCTGAACACGACATGATTAGACTCTCAGAGACAAGAAGAAAAAGAAAGAGAAAAATGCTATGGATAAAAACATATACACAAAAATATGATGTGCAGAATATATACCAAGAAATGAATCCTCTGGGGTGGGAGAAGAAATGACCAGGAAAAAAAAGAAGAGAGAGAGAGAGAGAGAGAGAGAGAGAGAGAGAGTTGGAGGGAGAGGAAGGAAGAGGGAGAGAAGAAATGGAAGAAAGCGAGAGAAAGACATCAAAGTCTCAAGGCTTCTTTGCCAGAATCTCATCGATCCACTCCCCTACATGGACACGATTCTCCTCTAGGATGCGAGCGCGTCCCTCGCGCATCTTGGTAGCCCTCTCGAGGTAGGCGGCCTCGTCGCCGATGAACCTCCGGATCGTGTCCATCTCGTCCTCGTCAGGCTCGGAGAGCCACACGGCGTCGCGGGGCAGGTAGGAGTAGGCGTCCAGGATGGCCTGGGTGGCGACCATGGGTGCGCCGGCGATCAGGGCGGCGGGGACGGTGGACGAGGCCTTGCGGTCGAGGTACTCGTCTGACGCGAAGGCCGGCAGCACGGCAAAGGCCTCGGACAGGACGCGGTAGAAGTCCGGGTACGAGAGGTCCTCGTCGAAGACGACGTTGCCGGTCAGGTTGTCGGGCACGTCGGGCTTGTTGCCGTGGCCGATGAGGTGGAGGGTGACGGTGTCTCCCCTCTCTTGGCCCTTCTCGTCCGTCTCGGTCTGGTCGACGCCGTCGCTCTTCTTCCCGGCCAGCTCGTCCATCAGGCCGGCCAGCTGCTCAAAGGTGTGGACGTAGTCGCGACGGCCGGACGAGTAGTCCCCCTGCAGGGCCAGGTTGATGCCGCCGGCGCCGAGGGCGGACCCGTGGGGTTCCGGGAGGCTGGCGACGGGGAAGACGGGGGGCAGGACGCGGGTGGTGACGGCGTCGGCCTGGGTGCCCCACTTCTTCAGGGTGACGTCGCGCAGGTACTGCACGGTGTGGGGGCTGAGGCCGAGGAAGTCCGCGCGGCCCTGGGCGGCGAAGTCGCGGATCAGGTCGATGGACTCGCCCTCCTCCCAGCGGTCGGCGTGGTGGACGAGGCAGATGAGGTGGGTGTCGGTCCTGTCGAGGATGCGTCGGAAGGCGGCCGGGTGGACGCTGGTGTCGAGGAGGCAGGTGGTGGAGACGAGGACGTGGGCCTGCGGCCTGTCGGTGTGGCCCACCAGGCCGGGAAAGTCGTCGGACGAGGCCACCTTGCTGACGGGGGAGACGAGGTCGAAGGCGGCCATGATGTCCTCCATCTTGTAGCGCTGGCGCTTGAGCATCATCGTCAGCTCCACCTTGTCCACACCGCCGAAGGCGTGCACCAGCGCGGCCGTCACCTCATCGTGGGTCCCGCCCGTCTCGAGGATGGCGACGCGGCGCACGTCGTCGGTCCAGGTCGAGAAGAGGGGTGGCAGGGGTGACGGATCGGACGTAGAGGCGGGGGACGGGTCAGACGTCGAGGCGAGGGACTCGTCCGTGTCGGCCATGCCGGGGAAGCCCCAGCTCGCGGCTTTGGATATGGCGGCATCCCGGTGCAGGAAGACGAAGAACAGGAGGATGGTCAACAAGGACAAGACCCACACGATGGCCACGCGGCGCTGCATGAAGGCGAAGGCCATGGCTCGCCTCTGTGAGCGAGTGAGTCGAGTCGAGTCGAGTCGAGTCGAGTTGAGTTGAGTGTGCGTGTGTGTGTGTCAATCACACACAATGTTCCCTCGACGTAGATGATGGAAGAGGGTGTGGAGATGGGAAACTCCCTGCCCCCCCGGTTTAGAGAAATTATGGGAGAGGAGAGAGGGGAATCGAGAGACAGAGCCTGATCTCTCGGACTGTCGGGGGACGTAGCAAGTATATGCTTGACCTGGAGGTAGTACTACGGGTGTCCAGGGCTCTCTCACTCTTATGGTATGCGGTCCGCCTCTTTCTCAGTCGTGAGGGGCGGCGTCTGCGTCTCTGACGGGACAGGGCGAGGAGGAGGTAAATGGTGGTAGAGAAAGATGGAGAGAAGATTTTGATGGGGGGGGGGAGGAGAAAAGGAAGGAAAGGAAGGGGATTGGATTAGATTTGGTTTAGATTGGATTAGATTGAAATACGAATAAGCAAGAATAAGCAAGATAGGTCAATGAGCATGGACAGGGACATGGTATAAGTACCTATACGATGCCCACCCCTCCATACAAGAATAGCGGCGGGTCTGAAATCTTCCAAGTACCTGCAACATGGTCGTATCCTCGGTCGCAGGTCACACCCGTCTACCTCCCTATCATTCAGGTCCCACCACGAGGTGATGACGGAGACCTATATTCCGTAATGTACGGGGCAGATGGAGGGAGGATGGGAGTCGTATTACCTGTAGGGCTGGCCAGAGGCATCGGCACCGGGTAGAGTGTGCGGTCCGTGTCATGGATGGGAAGAAGGGGAGGGCGAGATGGCGGTGATATGTGCAATCCATCTGTACGGCGTATATATAAGACCATCGGGGAGCGCCACAGGAGGCAGTATCACTGGTACTAGTCAGGTCAGTACCTGTAGGAATACTGCAGGAGGTGGCCGTACCGAGTACATGCACGTGCACACTGATGTGGCTCCACACAGTTGCTATTGCTGCCGTAATATCACGTCTACTCCTCTAACACGTATATATCACCCGTTGCGTGCAGACGGCTGGGAACGCAGAGAAGGAAACAAGGCTCGCTATCAGCGGGACGGATGAGATGCGCAGATGGCGACATGAGGAATATACGGGCATGTAATACTCTGTACGATGTATCCTTACAGGAACGTACGAATGTCTGCGTCTGTGCGGAAAGCTAATTTACATTTACCTGCACATGTATTCTGCAGTCGTGTACGGGCAGGTAGGTAGCATGAGCACTGTCTACTAGCCGTCTATGGAGTAACCCGTACTGGGCTCTAGGAATATGACTCGGTATACTCGTATTATTATATTACGATACCATGCATGTTAGGGGGGGAAGAAGAGAGAGAAAAAAGAGTGAGAGGGCGCGGGGGGGGGGGATGTGCCCAGCATATCCGAGTCAAATTAGAGGGGAATACCGGTAGTTGATTGGACAGCATGACATTAACCAGGGTAATCTGTACAGGGTATGATGCCATGGGTCTTGGGGGTTCCTTCAGTCTTGGGGGTCTGCGAGATCCGCCCAACCCCACCTACCGAATATGTGGCTGAGTAATAGGCATCAGACTGTACTTTTTTTCCCCCTCTTCCTCTTCTTTTTTCCCCCCCCCTCTTCTTCCTTTTTTTTCTTTCTTCTTTTTATTTTATTTTTCTCTCTATATATAACAATATATGTTCGTCACTGTCCCTTCATTCTGATGATGGACGCTTTCATGCGCATGTACGATTGAATGAAGAAGGAATCAATCATGATGTCTCTAGTGATGATGGCTAGCATCCTGCATCCTGGAAGAAGTATTACTCGGTGCAGGCAGCATTAGTAGTGATTCATTATCCACCACCGCCACCATCATTGGCCACTAGCAGCCTCCAATGAGCCGAGAACCTTTCCAAAACGGCCGAGGGGCATGTCAGCAGAAACGGAAAGGGGGGGGGGGGACGGACAATGCCTATGCCCATGCCCATGCCCATGCCCATGAGAAATAGAAGAGACGATACGAGCATACGACGGTACGTGCATGCATGTATACATGTATCATCACAGCTCTGGAGAGGCTTATCGCTGCAAGATACGAGGCCGCTGCTCGTCGACTTGACAGCCTAACGATAAGCGGTAACGCGCTGTACGAGTACACATAGTCCACCATGCGCTCACCCCGTACGGATTGATCTGTACTCGTAACCGTATCGCCTACAAGCTTTGTCAACAACACTCCGCGCCGCTACATGGCTATTACCACTCGTACCCGGCAAGAGTATCATCACTCTGTACATGTTAGCCTGTAGTACGCCCTGTCGACGATGACTGTATAGGTGATGATGCTCACTGCAGTGACGGTGATGACGAGAGACGGTGCCCAGGTCAACTGGAGTATAATCTGTCATTATTCATTATTATCACGGTCATTATTCTGCTTCAAGAAAAAAGGGAGCACAGCACCACGTTCTGTGCACCTGATTCCGCACCAGCGGATACCGAAACCTTCACCATCTAGCTAATCCGATTACGGCATCAACTCGCCGTATCTGTGCAGATCACTCCGTAGGCAGTATTGAGATTCCACCCGGTGCTGAAATGTACTGGGAACCACCCAGTACCGTGCACTGTCCGTATTGGGCGCAGCCCTGTGCGTCTCCTCCACGGAGTCTCGTACCGTACTCGTACAGCGTAATTACCACGCCGGATGCATGCATGAGAGCTCCCTCCTCCTTTCTTCCCCTTCCCTTTCAAGCTCTTGGTAGGTGCGATCGATGCTGTCGGTAGCAGTAACAATGCCGCTCTCCGTACTCGTACGGTACTCGCACAACGGTGGTAGCAGTAATGTTACTTGTGTATTGCCATTTACCGCGAGTAATACTGCGAGTGATACTGCGAGTAATAGACCGTCTCCAGGATGGACCTCCCACATTCCGTCATTGCTGCTTTTGTCTAGGGGGTGGGGACCTTGGAAAGAACCTTCCTCCTGCACTTTGTCTGCTAGCAAAACCGGAACTTCCGTCAAGCTTCTCCTGGGAGATCTGGCTTTTGATTTTTTGATATTTTGAATAATCTCTGAAGGATTCTCACCGTTTCCCTTCTCTCCTGACTCCAACAAGAAGCCTCCCTTCTCTTCCCCGGATAGCTGCTGCTTCGCGTGTGTGGCTTCTGTTTCTTTCTCTTCTCTTCTTCTGCTTTTTGGCTTTTTTTTTCCCTTTCTCCCGTCGTGTGTCCTGTACTCCACACCCGCACGCTTGACGACGGACGACAAAACGACGACGACGACGACGACGACGACGACGACGACGACGACGACGATAGAAGATGGCAGCTGCCGACGACCAACCCGGCAATCAGGATGCCATCCCTCTACGCAGCCGAGACTCCATAGACGAACTGGGCAGCCAAGAGGGCGACAGGCTGGTCCGCGACGACGATGACGATGACGGCGACGCAGCTGCCGCCGTCGCGCACCAGAAGCTGGCCGTGGTGTCGGGCATCACCAACAGCGCTCCCATATCGGTCGTGGCCTACTGTCTCGCCTCCATCAGCATGACCGTCGTCAACAAGTTCGTCGTGTCGGGTGATTCGTGGAATCTGACCTTCTTCTACCTCGCCGCTCAGGTGTGCCTCCGCTCTACCTGTCTTGCCATCTCTATATCCCGTCGCGGAACCTTGCTGACTGAACCTGAACCCGGTAGAATGTCATCTGCATCGCCGCCATCACCGCCTGCAAGAAGGCTGGGCTGATCAAGGATCTCGCGCCTGTCACGGTGGAGAAGTCTAAGAAGTGTACGTATCCGGGGGGGGGGGGGTATACTTTGCAAACGGAGAAGGATGATGATGATGATGATGATGATGAAGAAGAAGAAGAAGTAAAGAAGGAGAAGAAGGAGGAGAATGAGAAAACATGATTGATGCTGACCTAGCTGTTAGGGTTCCCCGTCTCCCTCCTGCTGGTGGGAATGATCTACACGAGCACCAAGGCGCTGCAGTTCCTCTCGGTACCGGTGTACACCATCTTCAAGAACCTGACCATCATCGCCATCGCGTACGGCGAGGTCTTCCTGTTCGGCGGCAGCGTGACGCGCATAGCCCTGGGAGCCTTCAGCCTGATGGTTCTCAGCTCCGTGGTGGCGGCCGTGTCGGACGTGAGGAGCGCCAGGGGCGGGCAGATGGGCGACGACGCCATGGCGGCCCTCAACGCCGGGTACTTCTGGATGGCGCTCAACGTGGTGTGCACGGCGACGTTTACGCTGTCGCTGCGCAAGGTCATCAAGTTCATGGACTTCCGCGACTGGGACACCATGTACTACAACAACCTGCTGTCCATCCCTGTGCTCGTGGCCGCCACGCTGCTGGCCGAGGACTGGTCGGCCGACAACCTCGCCCGCAACTTCCCCGACGGCCAGCGCAACAGCATCCTGATGGGCATCGTCTACTCGGGCCTCGCCGCCATCTTCATCTCGTACTGCTCCGCCTGGTGCATCCGCGTCACGTCGTCCACCACCTACTCCATGGTCGGGGCCCTCAACAAGCTCCCCATCGCCATAAGCGGGCTCATCTTCTTCTCGGCCCCCGTCACCGTCGGCAGCGTGTCGGCCATCCTCATCGGCTTTGTCAGTGGTATCGTCTACGCGTATGCCAAGAAGAGGGAGTCTGACGAGAAGTCGACTCTGCCGGTAAAGGAGAATGGGCGGTGATGTGTGTATACATGTATATGCATGTGTGTGTGTGTGTGTGTGTATGTGTAGGGAGCAGGTAAGATACTCTTTACTTCTCTTTTCGGTGTACATTTTTCCTTTTTTTAGGGTTGCCTCTTATATATATATACGGTGTCATCTGGCATATTTATCTCTGTTCTCTCTTGCTCTATATAAATACCGTTCAATCTCGATGACATTTCTTTCTCTTTCTCTCTCTCTTTTTTTTGCTTCCTCTTCTTCCCGTGACGGGTCCTGTCTGTGAGGGATGAGGCATAGCCCCTCCTCTCCTATCTTGGCGTCATCCCTTCCTGAGTATTTCGGTCGGTAAAATGACTGGGGGGGGGGCTGGTGAGAAGAGGCGGCGCCTACGAGGTAGATTTTGAGATTGAGTGAGCGACTCATCGTCCTGTCTTTTCTTCTTCTTCTTCTGTCACGTCTACTTCTTCCACTTTTTTATCCGCTTCTCTCTGTGCCTTTCTCTCCCCCCTCTCTCTAAAGGTGAAGGGGAGAGAGGGTTAAGTGTAACGGACTGGTAGCTGGCTGTGTAGCTGGCTGTGTACTATCTACATCCGTAGCTGTAGCTGTAGCTGAAGCTGTAGCTGTGTGTCGTCATGTTGAAATCCATGTACGGATATGATGATGCGTACCAGGGTCCAGCAACGTCTGCGGTCTGATGTGACCTTGGTGTGAGGTGAGGACAGATCCGTATCAGGTAATGAATAGTCTCGTCTGTACGCCTCGCTCGTGCGCCTCGCCCATGCGCCTCGCTCGTACGCCTGGCTCCCAGGTATTATGGTTATCATTGTGATTATCTTACCAACTACCTATACAGCGAGTGCTCGTACGTGCATGTAATATGCATCAGTACGAGTATGGTACGGGTAAAGGAGTACGAGTACGAAGTTGAGGTGGTAGCCGTACCTGCAGCAGATGACATGTCTGCTCACATTCACTCGGTACGCGATAGAGCAGGCGATACTCTGCTAATAGTACATACAGTACAGGTACGAGTCCGCTACTCGTGTAAGGAGGTCATGCTAGCATGATCTATCTGCTGGGGAGGACGAGTACGAGTACCCAGTCGTATCGCAAAATTGTATCGACTACGGAGCACTCGGTGGATGGGATGAGACGGAAGACGAGGGAAAGAGACGACGAGGAGGAGTCTTGGGGGACGATCTTGAAAAAAAAAAAATTTAAATAATAATAAAAGAGTCGATGGAAATGAGATGCTAACCCAGTCAGCCACTCACTGGCACTGACACTGGCACCTAGCATTTTTTAATGTATTATTTATTATATTAATCGTATATTCGTACACATGTACGGAGAATATTACGGAGGGAAGAAAAAATATTTAATTAAAAAAAAAACCCCATGTAGTAGGTAGAATATATATAAATTATCGTAATTATAACGATGAAAAAAAGGAAAGAAAGAAATATATGACGGGGCCAGACAGTATTGTGGGACCATCCGTTGCATCCCGATGATGTCTTTTGTCATCAGTTGATTTCAAGGGTTCAGCAACCCATGGCAAGAGATTCAACTGACGACAAGATGAAAAAAAAAGAAAAGAAAGAAAAAAGACAGTTACGATTCCTACGTTTTGCTCTGTAGTCCTGACGTAGGGTCTTAGTCTGTATTACTCATCATACGTCGTTCGTCATTGTCGGGTCCAGCCTAGGTTATCGCTTCTGCAACAAGGGGCCAGGTCAGGTAGGTCAGGTCAGGTACGGGCGTTATTATATAATATCACTGCTGCTACTCGTACGGAAGTACGGGTTAATCGTTTGACAGAGTAATAATATGCAATACTATAATAATAAAAAGTAGTATTATAAAAGTAGTATTATAACTTTTTTTTTTTTTGTCTATGCAGTTAGTTAGCCGATCCTTGACCAGCTCACTTTTTTTTCTTCCCCCTTCTTCCCCTCCCATCCCAATATTACTCTCCGTGTAGGTCCTCGTCTCTTGGCATGGTCAACCCCGGTCCCCCGACAGGAATTACAACGTCCGAGAGAGAGAGAGAGAGAGAGAGAGAGTATATTATAGTATACGTACGAGGTTAGTATGTAATATTTCGGGGGGGGGGGACAGCTTCGATGACAGATACAGATACTGACCAATCAGACATGAGAGGCGGAAATGCTCCCACTGCCGAGACCGATCGCTCCTTCGGCGCGGGCCCCAGCTGTCTGGAATGAAGGGGAGGGGCGGAATCGAAATAATGATAATAATAATAACAATTTTTTTTAACTTTAGCATGTACAAGCGAGGAAGATTCCATCACGACGAAGAATTACGACGTAGACAAATTAGGTAAAGTAGGAGTGGACGAGTTATCCTATCGTCCGCATCGGAAGCTACTCCCGCCGTCGTCAAGCCAATATAAGGAACTGGGATGTTGGTTGGTTGAGAAAGGGGGGGGAGGAGGAGGAGGAGGGGGTGTGGAGGGGGGTGTGAGGGGGGGGGTGGATAGATGGTTTGTTGGGATTCGATTCGAAGCGGGGAGTTTTTTTTTTCTTTTTTCTTTTCCATATTTTTCTCTCCCCCCCCCGCCCTTGCCCAGTTGCAGTTCCCTGTTATCTTCTATCTTCTGTTCCTCTTACGGCTGTCCGCCTTGTCGGGTTTTCTCATCAGGGGTCATTTTTTTCTTTCTTTTTTTTTCGGTAATATTATACAGTGTAAAGAAAAAAATCCGTAGCAAAAAAAAAAAAAAAAGGAAGAGAAAGAGGATTGTTGCTTTGGAGATGGAGATGGGACAACTATTACTATCTGAGGGGGATGGACACTACATATATATATACATGTATGACTAACTCACATGTAATCTGTACTAATATACTATATACTATATACTACATACTACATACTACTACTAATATAATCCGTACTCGTATGGCAGTAGCGTACTGCTCCGTACTCTGTACAGGTTATATGTGTAATGATACTCTCCATATACGTACTGATATGGGGAACCGAGTAGCAGCTCGACACGACGTCGCGGCACCCTGTTCGCAACCGTAGAGTTGAATCCATTCAAGGATAGGAAGAGTAATCCGTACTAGCATCAGTCCTGGCCAGAGCGTATCATATCACGACGACGACGACGACGACGACGACGACGACAGAGACGATGATACTCGGCATACATCTTTGTAGACTTCTTCGCAGGTAGAGCTGATGACGAGCCCGACTTGCGCAGCAGCTCGTGCGCAACCAGGCCACACCCTCTCTTCCTTCTCCTACCCCGTGTCCCCTGCACCTGCACCTGCACCCGCACCTGCACCTGCACCGGGGCTGACTCTGCACACACTCCAGACTTCCCAAGACTCTCGACTCTCATAGACCCCCCCCCCCGGGCCTCATGCACGTAACACAGTACCAATTCCCGCTCTCCCATACTCCCGCTCTCCCATGATACGATGCGCTAGAAAAAGGAAAAAAAAAAATCGTAATCTCCACCAGCACTCGCTGCCATATTAATCTGTACAGATTAATCTGTACTCCGTACAAGGTTACGCCCCCGTGCACGTGCAGATTACTGCCTGACCCCCTCCATGAAACCCTGCTACATGGGTTAACCGTCCTGACAGATGGAATGGATCCTTCATATTCTTTCTTCCTAACCCCCCCCCCCTCTCTCACTCTCTCTCTCTTGCTATGCGAAACATCCACCTGTTCTGCTAGTTTATTAGTGGTTTCTTTCTTTATTTTTTTTTTCTTTTCATATTTATTCTCTCAGTTTTTACTTTAGTTTAGGTTTTTTTTTTCTCTGCGTTCTTCTTTTTTCCCCCTGTAACTACATATACTAATACACTTACAGTAGCATTAAATAATACCACGCATATGTGTGGTTCTCATCTCATATTAGTACCTAGAGTAGTAAGTAGTAGTAGTAGTAGTAGTAGTAGTAGTAGTTAAGTAGTAGGTAGTAGTAGGTAGTAGTAGGTAGTACTCGTAGTAGTAGTCATAGTAGTAGTACTCGTAGTCTCGTAGTAGTAGTAGTAGTAGTAGTAGTAGTAGTAGCAATATCACTCTCAAGTACTGCACCTAGTAATACTCTCTTTCACACACACACACATACTCTCTCTCTCTCTCTCCTCTCTCTCTCTGCAATGAGGTAAGGTAGGCCCATCATTTTCGTACAGTCTCCATAGTAGACTAGACTCAACGTCGTGCTCAGCTCTCTCCCNCCCGACTTGCGCAGCAGCTCGTGCGCAACCAGGCCACACCCTCTCTTCCTTCTCCTACCCCGTGTCCCCTGCACCTGCACCTGCACCCGCACCTGTAGCCAATAACCTCCCAACCTCCATCGTCATGCTGCTGCGAGTCTCTGTACTATATCCATCATCGACAGAGAAGGTTTGGTAAGCTCACCGAGGACCATCCTACCTCTCCTGAGTACGTGCAATGGTGATGGTTAATGAGAGGAGAAGGAGAAGAGAGTCTTCTGATCAGCCCCCCTCCCCCCCCCCACCCCTGCTACATGGGTTAACCGTCCTGACAGATGGAATGGATCCTTCATATTCTTTCTTCCTAACCCCCCCCCCCTCTCTCACTCTCTCTCTCTTGCTATGCGAAACATCCACCTGTTCTGCTAGTTTATTAGTGGTTTCTTTCTTTATTTTTTTTTTCTTTTCATATTTATTCTCTCAGTTTTTACTTTAGTTTAGGTTTTTTTTTTCTCTGCGTTCTTCTTTTTTCCCCCTGTAACTACATATACTAATACACTTACAGTAGCATTAAATAATACCACGCATATGTGTGGTTCTCATCTCATATTAGTACCTAGAGTAGTAAGTAGTAGTAGTAGTAGTAGTAGTAGTAGTAGTTAAGTAGTAGGTAGTAGTAGGTAGTAGTAGGTAGTACTCGTAGTAGTAGTCATAGTAGTAGTACTCGTAGTCTCGTAGTAGTAGTAGTAGTAGTAGTAGTAGTAGTAGCAATATCACTCTCAAGTACTGCACCTAGTAATACTCTCTTTCACACACACACACATACTCTCTCTCTCTCTCTCCTCTCTCTCTCTGCAATGAGGTAAGGTAGGCCCATCATTTTCGTACAGTCTCCATAGTAGACTAGACTCAACGTCGTGCTCAGCTCTCTCCCTCCCCCCCCCCCCCCCCCCCCCCCCCCCCCCTCCTCTTGTCCCCTCTCCCCCTCTAACCCCCCTGCTCCGCGTATGTAACCCCAATTATGTCCTCATCTTTCTCTTTCCTTCCTTCCCTCTCCTTCTCTTATTAAAATCGTACCCATCAACCAGCTTTGGCAACCTTTCTTTTCTCGTGTGTTGCTCTTCTTTATCCTGTCTTCTCTTTCTGGCTACTCTGCATTCGCTGTCTTTCTTGTGCCCGCAAAAATACCGAGATACCCCCTCGCCAGAATACCCTCACAACGACCCTTTTTTTTTTTTTTCCTCATTGAAGCGACGTATTGAACCTATTCTAAGTGAAGTCGTCCTTGGGAGCAGAAGAACGTCAGAAGGAGACGGAAGAGAGAAGAAGGAGAAAGGAGAGGAAGAAGGACGAATATACTTGTCTCTTTTTTGTTTTTTTCCTCTCTTTATATATTCCTTGTTCACACACACATACGAACACACACACAAACGCACACCCACACGAACACACATATACAAGCACACATACATACACGCACGCACGCACGCACGCACGCACGCACGCAAGATGGGTCACGCAGACAACATCAACATATCCGTGCTGGAACAGCTCCCGTCAGACACCTGGCCGGAAGGGATATCGGTACGACGCACAGGCGACATACTGGTGACGTGCCTGGATGAGCCGGACATCCTGGTCATCAACGTGGCCGAGGACCCGGACGAGCCGGAGAACCGACTGGTCAAGCGCCTGCACCGGTTCCCGGACGCCAACGGCATCTACGGAATCGGGCGGGTGCCGCGGCCGGATGACGACGCGGCCGGCTACGACGTGCCGGTGGACGAGGAGGAGTTCGCGGTGGTGACGGGCACGGCCGACGTGTCCAAGTACCTCTTCGGCAACTGGACCCTGTGGCGGATCACGCTGGGGACCGACCGGCTCACGGGCTTCACCACGGTGCTGTCGTCGCGCAGGGTCGAGTCGGAGGACCTGCAGGACTTCGGCTTCTTCCAGGGCATGGTCGGCGTGCGGCCGACCGGGGCGCCGGCCAACAAGATGGCGGCCTGCGACCTGACCCGCGGCCGGCTGTGCCTGCTCGACATCGAGACGGGCTCGGTCGACGTCGTGAGCGACCACGACATCCTCAGCCCCTCCCCCTACTCCAGGGACAACAGCGTCTTCGGCGCCAACCGCGTGCGCTTCACCGAGAACCACGCCTGGGTGACCAGCTGGAGCGACGGCGCCCTGCTGCGCATCCCCGTCAGCCGGGACAGCGCCACCGGCCTCATCCGGGCCACCGGTCCCCCCGAGCGCATGGCCGAGGGCTTCCAGGCCCCCGACGGCCTGTCCATCACCCGCGACGGCACCACGGCCTACATCGGCAGCATCTCGACGAGCACCCTCTGGCGCGTGGACGGGCTGTCGGACGAGTACGACTCCGAGCCGACGTCGACCGTCACCGCCGTCAGGACCGACCTCGCCACCCCGACCGCCATGGACCTCTTCTACCCCGGTCCCGGCGTCGACCCCGCCATCACGAAACCGACCCTGTACATCTGCTCCGTCGGCAGCCTCACCCCCGAGGTCATGAGCGGCAAGGGAGACTGGCTCACCGTGTCGAGTCTCGATACGAAGCTGGAAATAATGGTCACGGTCACGACGGAAATCACGTATGAGTATGTCTAGCCTCTTTCTTCTCCTTCTTCTTCTTCTTCTTCTCTTTCTCTCCTCTCTTTCTTCTCTCTTTTGCTTTGCCGGTCTAGATGTTTACATGTCGTTGTTTCTTTGCACGTAGGAATGGAGAAAAGAAAAAGGTAACTGGAAAGAAAGATTGATCTTTTACATCTTATCTTTTCATTTTTTTGGGGGGGCGGGTTTGGATCTTTTTTTTTTTTTGGGCTGGTTGGCTCTCGTCTTTTCTATCATGGGGTTTCGCTCATGGGGTTTGTTGTCGCTTTTTTTCTTTTCCCCCTCTCTTCTATCATATAGATAGGTCATATTCAGGAGTCAACACTTTTCTTTCTTCTCTCTCTGGGTTCTACTCTGCCTTGGACGACTTTCATATTCATGTACATCTAATATATATATCATCGCAATCGTGTGCATTGCATCGCATGAGATACCCTACCTACGTGATTATTCCGGTGTTTTTCCTACTACCCTACACTTGAGGTGCTGTGCTTCCTGCCGGCGACGACACACGATGACCTGCAGACGCAAATATAGTAGTCTCTGCCTACGTCTACGTCCTGGGTCGATAGGTGGAAATCCATCTATGAGGCTATCCACAGTCGAGTGTGTGGCAGCAGCAGCACCCGGGGGGGTAAGGGGGGAGGGGGGGGTTGTCTGCTCAGCCATGCAATTTGGGTGGCGCAGTGCACGTACTTGTCTGTTTTGTCTGTCTGCTCGGCATTTACGTCTCTCCAATCCTGTAGAGATGGATACCCGGCACTTGGGTGATTCCTCGGATTCTCTATATATCTCATCACACTCTCAGTGCGCCATTCTGCAGCATCTTGTTTTGGAGACAGACGACGGCTACATACTCGCCGTACATGAGAAGACGTACGACCGTCATCCTAGAAACATCGAGACCGAAAAAGTTGAAAGGGTAACCTTTATTTGATAGTCCTCCGATTCATTTATGCTCGTAGCTAAGCTTATATCCATGCAATCACGTGATACGGGGATACAATATACGGGTACTATCTACGGTAAGTAGTTGGAACTGTGCAGATTACCGTGCACGATGGCGTGTCATGGATGCTCTACTCCCCACACGAGTTACGAGTAATAAAATACGGTACTCCGTGACCCGTGGGGTATGCCGTAGAGACTTACAGTTCCTTCTCCAGAGCCTATATCCTCATACTCCATATTACACCATGTCTCCATCTCGTATCCGTACGTTCGCAGCATGTCTTCAGCGTCTCTACGAATACGACCGAGTGCGCTGCTCACGGGAAAAGTACGTACCCGGGACACGCGTCATGGCCGCGACGCCGCGTCCCACGCCGCGCTCACGTACTTCCCCACGACTTCACCCGCATTTTCTTCTCCTCATCTTGGGTAGGACGGGGAGGGGAGAAAACCGGAGTGAGTGAAAAGTGACGGGGAATAAAGCCGCGCAGCCCATGGGGAAGGCAAATAAAGAAAAAAACGATCAAGTACGGCCGAAGAGATGGCCCGAATAAGATGGAGAACAAGGTGAGACATATTTACGAGTACATGTATGGGGGGGCGGGGGGCGAGGGGGGGGTATCATGAAGTGTGGTACCAGTCAGAGGGACTGATTACAGAGACATTACGAGTACGAGTAAATCGTAATAATACTCTACTCTGTACTCTGTTCCCCCGAATCTTCCTTCCGTCACACACACACACACACTCTCTCTCTCTCTCTCTCCAGAGTATTACTCAGTCAACTGGAGAAGGAGGGAGGGGGCGGGGGGGAAAGACTGGAGAAAGGGCAGAACTGGAGAATGGAGAATGACGTGGGAGTGAGGGTCTTTTGCGCTGATCGGGACCACAGTCGAACCGAGTAAACGACCGATGGACGGGGTCCTCAAGACGCGGTGCGTGAAACGGGGGGGTTAGATGCAGTATTACTCCATTGCTCCGATGCACACACACGCACGCACACACACTCCGTATACATGTACTCTTTGACGTATCTTTTTTTTTTCTAGAACACGTCAGAGTGCATGTACCTGTGGCAATGATGAAGATTTTGGGTTGGAAGCGAGAACCGTGACGATACGCGCGTGAAGCGTAGATGCCACCCACTGAATGGCGCTGCCCGGCCTAGAAGCAAGGCGAGACACCCCACTCGGTGCACTGAGAGCAAATTTGGTAGGGCTTGACAAGAGAACAACGAGAGAGGGAGTTGTGTGTGCTGGTGAGAGACACACAAAAGAAGGAAAATTAGAGAGAGAGAAGGACGGAAAAAAACAAGGAGATTGAACATCATATTGTTTTCGGAAAACATCGAAAACGGAAAAGGAAAGAAATGAAAATTGTAGGTGAATTGAACAAGGCGTAACGGTCTGTCATGTCATGAGGCTCTGCTGCTACGCAGTGTACATGTAGATGCCAAGGCAATAAAGGTCATGTGAGTCCCGCGGCAGATGAAATAGGCTCATAATCCGTACAGCCGTAGCGTGGTTGAGCCTCAGTAAGCAGCCAAAAGCCAAGGTCAAGTAAGCCAATGGAAGCTGCGCCCCTGAACATCGTGCACTTGCCGAGCCTTTTGATCGTCTCAGTTGACGTCACTTTTTTTTTTTCTCCTTCCTTTCCCTTTCTTTTTCCTGTGTCCCTCTTCGTTCTTCTTCGCACACTTCCATCATCTCTTCATCTCTCCACACATCTGTTCATCGCTCACCATCGCCAGCATCTGCCTCGTCAATGGTGACAAGTACGAGAAAGAGAAGAGAGGAAACAGCCAGGAAGACAGAATGAACTGGAACAGGAAAAGTGACGTACTCGTACCACTACAGACTGGGTTGTTTCTTGGACACGGCTTGGCATCCAAATGCCGTGGGCACTCTGCGAGTAACACGACCCATCCTCCACCCTTTGTCTCTTCTCAATCCACGACTAGCGCTTTACCAGGTACGAATCAGACCGTTTCGGACCCTACTCGGCCAATCGGTGGATATTCACCTGTACAGGTACAGATAGAGTCTCGCACGATCCACCAAGACACCGGGCCTTTTCCCCACTCGACCACTCGATTCCTCACACGGCCGGCCTCACCGTGGTGCTACCTGTTGCGGTTCAACTCATCTCCCCCCCCAAGTCTCGTGGGGACCTTGGGGAATCGGGGAAGAGAGCGAATCTACTCCGTACGGAGCGACCACACGCTCCCCCTTGTCCCCCCATCTTGCGCAGTCAGCTGCCCCATGGGTCTCCCGTTCTTTGCGGAGACACGGGCACTCCCCGTATTTTGTGTGGCTTGGGGGTCGGGTGTTGTCGAAACTACATCTCATCGGACCTACGACCTACACATGGTGTCAACCATGCTCTCACTCCTGCATGTCTTGGACGTCGACAATCTAATTTGCTTCTGGCTGTGAACCGAGGTGAGAAGTAAGAGTAAACTACCAGTGGCCGACATTGTGGAAAACATATTGTTAGTAATGCTACGAGGAACGATCTTGTTCGCATGCGTCCCTCATTGTCTCTCCTGACAATGCACACACACACACACACACACAACGAACGAAAACGGCAGATGCACGACTGCACACGTTTTTGATAGTCGGGCCTTGCATATCATTGCGCCACGATTGATGGATACAACCGTCATCGTACTGGTAGAATAACAGTGTGACCTGCTCTATACTAGTTACGTATATGGTAGCAGCAGTAATATAGTCAGTAGAGTAGTTGGTAGAGGAGTAGCAGTACTACAGCTAGTATACTGATACTAGTCAGTAACAGCATCTATACTACTCGAGCGTCGAGGATGCAGAGAGGGCAACGGGGCTGTGATCCAACAATCGACCAACCCACAAAGCAAATAGATAATACGCCATCTGCGATCCAGAGTTCGAACCTAGGCCCATTGCCCCGTCATTGCATCAACCCCAGTCGAGTCCCCTTCTGCTCTCTGTCTATTCCCCATTCCCCAACCTGCATTCGTGGCCCACATCCTATCCTATTGGGTCCCCCTCTCTCCATCTTCACCCTCGTCCTTTTACTTGCGGAGTCGTCCGTCACCCCCCCCCCCCTATGATCCATCACACACATACGCACACACCAGTCTCCACCGATCCTCCTACTCTCCGCTCGGCTCTTTTCTCTCTCTCTCTCTCTCTCTCTCTTCTTTCTTTATTTCTCGCCTTCTCCATTGGGCTCGGAGGCCTTTTGCTTCCCACATATCGTGCCGAACCCGTGCGATTGTCTGCGTGTCTGTGTTCCTTGTCCCTTTCTCTCCACTCATTCCCTCCCCGTCTCTCTCCTCTCTCCTCTCTCTCTCTCCCTCTTAAACTCCCCTCTTCCCCTCCCTACTTGACTTTGTAACTCTATCCCACACACACCACAACTCCTTTCCTTGTCACATACACACACACACACATATATATATATATATATATAGAGAGAGAGAGAGACCAGACGCATATACATACGCATACGCACACATACACACACACGCACATACACGCGACATCGCCCATCATGCTGGGTCGCGTGTCCGTCAAGATCAACGGCGCCGACTGTGGCGCCGAGGCCCTCCTCGTTGGTGCCATCACTTCCATCGGCGGTTTCCTCTTCGGTTACGACACTGGTCAGATCTCGGCCATCCTCCTGTTTACCGACTTCATGGACCGCTTCGCCCAGGGTCCAGAGGGAGACAAGCACTGGTCCTCGATCATCCAGTCGCTCCTCGTCTCTCTCATGAGCATCGGCTGCCTTATCGGTTCGCTGTCTGGCGCTTAGTACGTCTCCTACGCTCCTCCTCCTCCTCCTCCTCCTCTGTGTAGAGTAGCCTGGAAGACCAAAGCTGACCTCTCCTTTCCAAATAGCACCGCCGACTGGTGGGGTAGGAGGAGATCCCTCTCCTTTGGTGTCGTCATCTTCATCCTCGGAAACGTTGTCCAGATCACCGCTATGCGCAGCTGGGTCCACATGATGATGGGCCGCTTCTTCGCCGGTCTCGGTGTCGGTTCCCTGTCTGTCGGTGTTCCCATGTTCCAGAGCGAGTCGTCGCCCCGAGGTACGCATGATCCCATCCGATCACTATACGTGTCACGACGAAACATGGGGAAGGGGGCAGGTGTCTGACAGAAGAATGAAAACAAACAGAAATCCGCGGTGCCGTCGTCGCCAGCTACCAGCTCATGATCACCTTTGGTATCCTCATCTCCAATATCGTAAACTACGGTGTCCGCGAGATCCAGGGCTCGGACGCGTCGTGGCGCATCGTCATCGGCCTGGGCATCGCCTTCTCCCTGCCCCTGGGCCTGGGCATCCTCGCCGTCCCCGAATCCTCCAGGTGGCTGGCTTCCAGGGGCCGCTGGGACGAGGCCCGCCTCTCGCTCGGCCGCCTCCGCGGTCTCAAGGATGACCTCCATAACCCGCTCGTCGAGGACGATCTCAACGAGATGCGCGAGCTCCTCGAGCAGGAGCGCGAGGTTGGCACCGGCTCGTGGATCGAGTGCTTCATGCCCTCCCAGTCCACCCCCAAGGTCATCTACCGCACCCTCCTGGGCATGGGCATCCATTTCATCCAGCAGTGGACCGGCATCAACTACTTCTTCTACTACGGTGCCACCATCTTCCAGAGCGCCGGAATCTCGGACAGCATCCTCGTCCAGCTCATCCTCGGCGCCGTCAACGTCGTCACAACCTTCTACGGTCTCTACGCCGTCGAGAAGTTCGGTCGCCGCAACCCCCTTATCATCGGCGGTATCTGGCAGGGTTTCTGGCTCATCGTCTTTGCCTCGATCGGCACCGGTCTCGACCCGGCTGACAACAAGGCATCTGGTATCGTCATGATTGTATCTGCCTGCATGTTTATCGGTATGTCTTACCCCTCCCCGAGATTACAAAAAAAAAAAAGGAGAAGAAAGAAAACATGAAAACTAACTACCAAACCCTAGCCTCCTTCGCTGTAACCTGGGGCCCCATGGCTTGGGTCGTCATTGGCGAGTCGTTTCCTCTCCGCACTCGTGCCAAGCAAGCCTCTCTGGCTACGGCATGCAACTGGCTCGGAAACTGTACGTTATTTTTCTTCCTCCCTTCCTTCTCTCCCACCCCTTTCTTTTCTTTTCCTCGTTACTGACAAGAGGGGAAAAAAAAAACAGTCATGGTCGGTTTCCTCACCCCTCTGGCCACCGATGGCATCTCGTACGCCTATGGCTACGCATTTGCCGGGGCCAACCTGATCGGCTCGGTGTTGATCTTCTTCTTCCTCTTCGAGTCGCGTACCCTATCCCTGGAGAACGTCGACATCATGTACGGACAGGCCGAGCTCAAGCCCTGGACCAGCCACAAGTGGGTTCCCCCGGGCTACATCACCCGCACAGAGCGCGACGAGAGCCACTTCCGCAGCCTCAACGACGGCGCCATCGCAAGGGACATGGCCAGCGAGAAACCCGGCAGCGACGGGTCTGCTCTACAGAAGGAGCATGTATAAGGTGCTGCTGGCTGTGGGAATATATATACGAGCATGCTGGAGCCTTTTTTTCTTTTCTTCTTCCTCTCTTCTTTTCCTCGTCCCTGGACATTTTTCCTTTCAGAGTTCTCCTCTTCTTACTACCCCATGAGTTTATACTTGAAATTTATTAGATACCACCTCTTCATGTGGTGCATGGCCGCTGGATACGATTACCCAAGATATTACCCAAGATACGACAATCATATGGAACCATCTCCAACTTTTTGTCTTCTTTACTACTGCCATCCATGATTTACCTGTTCCTCTTCTTTCCTCTAGCGTGCGAACGTAGCGAGAAGAACCCTCGGCAGGGCCACGGGAGGCGTAATCACATTACGAGTAGTATTGTCATTGTCGTATATACATCTCGATAAGGTATATAGGTACAGAGTAGAGAGCACGAATGATACATGCGAGCGAAGCGAGACATAATGCAAGAAAACGACTTCAATTACATGCACGGTAAACAACACGACCTACTGCCGATGAATGGAAGACGGCGCAGAGGAACTGGACGAGGAAATGACCGGACCGCCCTCCTCGACGAGGTGGGCATAGGCGGGACGAGGCACAGTGGCATCTGCGGAAGCGACAGCGGCCTCCTCGTCCTGACCACGGACCTTCTCGGTGTCATGGATGAGGGTGCCGTCGGGGTTGTGTGGGGGCGCAGGCATGGTGGGGGCGAAGGGGCTGCGCATGCGGATGGCCTTGCCGTACCTGTAGAACAGGAAGGGGATGACGGCCAAGACGGTGGCGACGCCGGCGATCAGGCTGCCGCCGCCGCCGACGCCGAGGGCGGAGAACATCTGGTGGGTGAAGAGCGGGGCGGCGGCGCCGCAGGCGGAGCGGGTGATGGTGTTGGCGGCGATGGCGGAGGCCGAGTACATCCGGTAGGTGTCGACGAGGTAGTTCTGGTAGGCGGTGAAGATGAGGAGGAGGGTGGTGGCGAGGAAGGCGCCGGCGATGGAGGGGACGATCCAGTGGACGGAGTTGTACTCTGCCGACCAGGCGAACCAGAACATGGAGATGGGGAAGAGGATGCCGCCGGCCATGGCGAGGGGGAGGCGGTCCTCGGGCTCCATGTCGTCGACGGAGGCCTCGCCCCTGCGGATGGCGGCGAGGCGGCGGCGGGTGTCGAGGACGACGATGGCGCCGCCGAGGACGGCGCCGACGATGGTGCCGCACAGGGGGAGCTCGCCGACGCCCGAGTTCCAGCCGCGGCGCTCCTGGAAGACGATGGGGTAGATGCTGAAGAGCATGTAGAGCAGGGTGTAGACGACGGACATGTAGACGGCGCAGAGGAAGCTGATGGGGTCGAAGAGGATGACCCAGGGCCGGGTGAGGGCGACGAGGTAGGCCTGGCGGAGGGTCTGGGAGCCGCCCTCGGCGCGGGAGCGGACGGCGCGGTGGACCCCCTGGGCGCGGATCCGCCGGGCCTTGGCGGTCAGGATGGTGGGCGCGTGGGTCTCGGGGATGGTGAACATGAGGAGGGCGGTGGCGCCGCCGAGCATGAGGATGACGTAGAAGATCCAGCGCCACCCGTCCGGGCGGGTGAGCTCGAGGAAGCCGGCGACGACGGGGCCGAGGGCGGGCCCGATGTAGACGAGCATGGAGAAGCCGGCCATGGCGTCCCCCCTCTCGAGCGGGTTCCAGATGTCGGCCAGGACGCCGGGGACGTTGCTCATGGGCGCGGAGACGAAGGTGCCGGCCAGGAAGCGGCCGACCAGCAGGCTGCCAAAGTTGGGGGCGAAGGCGCACAGGAAGGTGAAGGCGAGGTAGCAGAGGAAGGTGATGTAGAAGATGTAGCGCCGGCCGTAGAACTCGGACAGCGGCGCGAACGCCAGCGGGCCGGCCACGTAGCCGAGCAGGAAGAGGGTCAGGGTCAGGCCGGCCACGACGGTCGACACGCCGAAGTGGGACGATATCGACCCCAGGGCCCCCGAGGGCGCCGACGAGGCAAAGGTCGCGTTCATCACCAGCATGACCGAGCACACCGTTATCTGCCAGCGCCGCGCCGACGTCCAGTTCTGGGGGTTCTCGACGTCGGACTCGTGGAAGGCCACGAAGCCGTCGGCGTCGGTGTGGGGTGCGTCATCCTGCTTGAGGTCGCGCGTCCGGTATGGTCTGTTCTGAGGTCGGGAGAGGATACGGGCTAATGCTGACATCTTCTCGTCCCCCCTTTTCTTCTTCTTCTTCTTCTTCTTCCTTTCTCCTTCCTTCTTCTCTGCTTCTTCTCTCGTCCCCCCTTTCCTTTCTCTCTTGCTCTCCTTCTCTTACCCTCTGTCAGGTAGCAGCAGCAGGGGAAGTTGGGGAAGAGAAGAGGAGCAGTCTTTATGTGTGCGTAAGTGTAAGTATGTGTATGCGTCGTCTTGATGATGATGTCAAGAGTCCGAAGACGGCAGCTCACCCCAGATGATGGGTTGTATTTTCCACAGCCGATCGAGGCTCTGCTGTTCAGGAAGAAGGGAGATAGGAGTGGTTAATATACAGAGTAATATATCATACAACTTACGTACGTACGCGCGTGGGTGTGTGTGAAGGTGTGTTGGTCAGAGACAAGGGGTCATTGGTAAGCGTTCGGGGCGGGTAAGCCAAGACGGTGTCCACCGGCTATACAGCGAGAAGGCTCGAATGAAGGAGGACGAGGAGGGAGGAGGAGGGAGGAGGAGGACCAGTCTGTGGTGCCATGGACGAGTAGGATTGCGTCCTCGTTGGTCATGGACCTGAAGTTTCTGAGCTGTGTTGTCTCTTGGCCCTTGGCTCCTGTCCTCTTTTATTTTTATTTTTATTTAATTAAAATGATTTTGCTGTTGCTGCGGGAGGGCGGGGAAAACAAGAAGGTCAAAGCTCCGACAAGTCCCATCAGGAAAAAAAGAGACCACATCGGATGTGCACATCGGCAAAAGCGATTGAAGGTGCCGGAGAGACTCCAGAGCTGTAATAATAATACCTCTTGCGGGTCAAGAGGATCCCACCCTTGTCCAATAGTGTTCCTTAGTATTGAATCATTTCCCGTTCTTCCCATCGGGGATAACGTGGGACGGTATGGTATGTTCGGTACCGGACTCGGCATCGGATGAAGGGGAAGGGGGACCAGAGGGTTTCTGTTTATTATGTATCTGGCGCTTCCCACCTCCTCCCACTCTCAGCCCTCCTCCCTCTTTCGCCCTTTCGCCCTTTCGCTCTTTTCTTGGATGGTCTGACTTTTTTTTTTTTTTTTTTTTTTTTTTTTTTGGTTGGAGGCTCTTGCGTGCGTGCGTGCATGCGTGTGTGTGTGTGTGTGTGTGTGTGTGTGTGTGTGTGTGTGTGTGTGTTGGTGTGTGTGATGTTACCATTATGCTTCCTCTGTTCCTGTACAATTCATCCATTGCTGATATTGTATTACGAGGAAATCTCGGATGCGCATTGCGGATAGACAAGTAGACAATCATTGATTCATTCATCAACCTAGCTAGGGTTCTGATTCTGATTCTCTGCCACATAATACACAATATAATACAGAATACACACACACACACACACTCTCTCTCTCTCTCTGAGTATCTCATATTGTGGTCTGATGAACTTGACGAACACACCCCCCCTCCCCCTTTCAAAAGGATATCTCTGCGTCCAAGCCGCGGTTCAAACGGGAAAGGATCGATGGTTAATAATACTTTCCTTTTTCGATCTAGAAAAGAAGATGGTGTCGTCAATCTGACCTGGTGACATGCCACCATATAGGTGTACACAACAACATCCTTCTTCTCTTCCTCCTCTTTTTCTCCTCTTTTTTTTTTTTGCCCCATGTCGCGCGCGGCCGAGGATGCGGATCATTTCAGCAAGAGATGGGTCGGAACATGCGTAGACCATGTTTGGTAACACGAGAGAGAGACTACGGGTGGGACAAGCTTGCCTAAACCGACTCTCTCTCCTTTCCAACTCTTTCTTCTTCCTTCTTTCTTCTCCCTCTTTAGGCTGTACCGGTACATCGGCTCCCTAGCTTCCTACTTTTTTTTCTTTTCTTTTCTTTTTTTTTCCCTCGGTATACTATCATGATACTCGGTTGTTGCCTGTCGGGGGGGCGGAGGTTGATGGTTCTGAAACTGTCCTCTTCTCACTTTTTTATGCATTCATAATGCTCGTCCCTCGTACGTAGAGGAGCTGTCGGTTCATCGCGTTGATGAACCTGAACGGCCGCACTCGTATTCCTTCCGGGTTCATGCATACGAGTTTCGATACGACGTCCACCAATCGACCAAATGTCTTGTGTGTGTGCGGTGTGATTGACGGTGGAGACAGGAACCGGTTACTATTATTGGCGACCGACTATTATCTGTCGGGAGCCTGGGTTTGCCATGCTCCCTCTCTTCTGGCTTCTCCCTACTTCGATTCATCTCATCTTCAGCTCCCATTCTCTGTGTGTGGGATAGAGAATGGGATAGGAAGTGGGATGGAGGATAGGCGAGAGTCATTCGCACCGCCGATGCCGATAGCAGAGTGATGGCCGTGAATGCCCTCATCGACGAATGCGCATCTGCCGTGACGCCCAAGCTCGGCTGCTACGTAGACGACCGAGAGGGGCACTATCGCGTCATCGCTATCTATCAAAACCCTTGCAATCGTGCGTGCGTCCGTATCTGTTGATCCCCTCTCTCCTCTCTCCCCTCTCCCCTCTCTCACCCCTCTCCAATTCCCTCATCTGTATCGAATTCCTTTTTAAAAATCAGGAGAGTGGCGTCGTTCTATTTCGTCTCTAGTTCTTTAGCCTTGACCTCTTCTTCTTCTCCGGCAATCTGCATCAGTTACATCCACTCCCCCCCTCAAGATGAAGCCAGCCGTTATCAAGGTTGCCGCAGCCTTGGCCGCCGCCACCGCCGCCTCCGGCGCCGGCGCCGTGGCCGTCCCGGGTTCCCAGCAACGACCGTTGACCGCGTCGGGCTTCTCGTGCAGCCTCCCCCCCGTCATCGACCCTTCGTCCGACGGCCTGCCGTCAGCAGAGTCCCTCTTCTCCTCACGCGAGGCCCTAGAGAGGCAGGTCGAGCGTCACCAGGCCGTCGTGCGCGTCCCCACCGTCTCGTACGACGACCTCGGTCCTCCCGGGGAGGATGACCGGTGGGCGCCGTTCTTTGATCTCCATGCTGTGCTGGAGAAGTTGTATCCCAACTTGTAGGTCACATACAATACACGCAATCGGGTGAAACATGCGATGAGAGATGAGAGAGAGGGGAGTTGCCGGGGGGTAAGAGAAGAGACTGACAGAGTTACAAAAAAAAAAAAAAAAAAGGCACAAGAGGGCATCACTGGAAAAGGTCAACACGCTGGGCCTGGTGTATACCATCCTCGGGACCGACGTGTCCCTGAAGCCCACGCTGCTGGCGGCGCACCAGGACGTGGTGCCCGTGGCCGACGCCTCGACGTGGACGCACCCGCCCTTCGCGGCCGTGTACGACGGGGAGTGGATCTGGGGCCGCGGCGCGTCGGACGACAAGAACAGCCTGACGGCGCTCCTGTCGGCCGTGGAGGCGCTCCTGTCGCCGGAGACGGGGTGGACCCCGCGGCGCACGCTGATCCTCGCCTTCGGCTTCGACGAGGAGTGCTCCGGCCTGCGGGGCGCGGCCTCGATCTCGCGGCACCTGCAGTCCGCGTACGGGACCGACTCGGTGGCCGTCATCCTGGACGAGGGCGGCACCGGTCTGGGACCCGTGGACGGCGACGACAGCGGGACCCTGTACGCCGTCCCGGCCGTCATGGAGAAGGGACACGTGGACGTGTGGTTCGACCTGAGCGTGGCGGGCGGCCACTCTTCCTTCCCCTTCCCGCACACGGGCATCGGCATCGCCGCCGAGATCATCACCGCGCTCGAGGCCAACCCGTGGTCGCCCGCCGTGCTGGACGACAGCCCGGTGCACCGCCAGCTGCAGTGCCAGGCCAGGCACTCGCCCGGCGCCGACGCCGAGCTCACCCGGCTCGTGCGGGAGCGCGACCTGGACGGCCTGGCCCGCCGCCTGGCCGCCTCCGGCCGCGTCCCCCAGTACATGGTGCAGACGTCCCAGGCCGTCGACACCATCCGCGGCGGCCAGAAGATCAACGCCATGCCCGAGGCCGTCTCGCTCGGCGTGAACTACCGCGTCGCCCCCCAGGACAGCATCCCGCGCGTCATGCGCAACGTGGTCGACGTCATCGCCCCCGTCGTGGACAGGTACGGCCTGCGCCTGCGCGCCTACGAGGGCGACGCCGACTACGACGAGTACCGTGGCGGGGACGCGCTGCCCCGGTACGACGTCGACTACAACGGCACGCTCGTCCTCCGCGCCAGGGAGAAGACGGCCGTCACGCCCATCTCGCCCACGTCCGGCCCCGTCTGGGATCTGTTCTCCGGCGCGATCCAGCACTCGTACGCTACCGAGTCGGGTGCGCCCGTCGTCCCCGTCGGCATCATCATGACCGGCAACACCGATACTCGCCACTACCTTGGTATGTTTCCCCAGCTGCCCGCAACCTCTCTGCCGTACTCTGGCCTCCGGACCCTGTCCCTCCCCTGCCCTGTCTCCTCTTGCCTCGTTCCTCTCCGCTCGTCCGTTGCATCCCCGGTCAAGCCGGGACAGCTGCTGACACCCGATCCGGACAACCTCCAGACCTCTCACCCAACATCTACCGCTGGACCCCGGCCCGGCAGGGCACCGCTCTCAACATCCACACCGTCGACGAGCGCGTCCGCATGGATGGACATATCGGCATGGTCAAGTTCTACTACAACTTTGTCCGGACGTTTGACCAAGCTGATATCGAGTAGGTAGGAGCAGGGGACTATAGAGTCGACAGTAAAGCCTGATGAGTCTTGCGAAGACGAACAACGCACGTATATACGTACGTACATGCAGTATACGTAATACCTACTACTGCTACTGCTACTGCTACTGCTACTGCTACTGCTACTGCTACTGCTACTACGTGTATTACATCAAAAACTGCTACCCGTACATGCATACGCGCGATCGCGCATGCCTTCAACCTCAACCGTACTGCTCTGTGAAGGCGTCTATGACTTGTTACCGGCAGTGAACACACATCCATCAACCCGACCCCTTCGAGCCTGAACACATCACATATCCCTGACACGCATCCTGGGTAAGACCGCTCTCCCATCGAGAACCGACCGCATACCCAGCTTCAAGACCGTCGTCATGGGAGAGATGTTCTCCTTGTTTCCACCCTTCTTATTGGCGTCAATATAAGAAAATGCTCCATACAAGAATCAACGACGAGCCGTTAGTGGGCCGGGGGACGAGTGGATCTATGCCGGGAGGGGAGGGGAAAATCAGAGGAAGTAAAAAATGGATTGAGGAGGTTTGACATACGCAACTTACCTCCCTCCCTCTCTCCACGTACGGAACACGTAGTGCGGGGCACCTGCACTCTCGTTGAGAAACAAGAGTAAGTCGGTGATTGAGTGATTGATCAGAAATTCGACACCTGAAAAAGAAAAAAGAAAGAGAGAGGAAAATGAAGATCAAATGTTAAACGACGTACGTGTATCTTGCTCTCACATTTGATTTTGAAATTACCCGGTGAAACATGAAAATCTGCCAGTCTTCTTGAAAGGGATGACTATCGAGATTTGTTGTGTCGTGTGGTCTGCACGGTGGGATGCCGAAGATCCGTCCGGACAGACGGACTCAACATTCTTTTCAATGTACGGATACTAGGAGCCTACAACGTAGGACAGAGGTGTAGCACAGAGCTGCTTGGGTTGCAGCATGAGCTACACGGAGAGTTACATCGATAGACAGAGAGCATCGCAGAGCGATAATCATGATAGATTACTTGTTGCGACATACTACGACTAGTGATACGATTTACTGCTACATGCTCATAACAACGGTGGCATAATACAGAGTCGAGTGGACCACGCATCTTACCAATAGCGGTCGACGATGCCGTGCGTGCAAACAGGCATCATTAGTCGTATGTATTACTTACGTAGGCGGCGTTTTAGCATGCACCGGTCGTCAACGTGGGAAAACTTGTTAGTCGTACTCGTAGTAAACTGTACATGTACAGGTGATAGTGGTGGACTTACTTAAAAAGTTGCTGCTCGTACTCTCTGTGGCAGCCGTCGTCAACTCCTCAACGTGACTTGTACGTCTACGGAGCTTTCCTGGTCTTTTTTCTCAATCGGCGGCGTCAACATTCATTGGTCAGATATTACTCGCGGTGAGCAAGATGACGTCGTCGATGAAGTCGCGACGGATGTTGCTGATACATGTAGACAAATCGTATCTGTACCGGTCCGGTCGCAAACTCGAGCCTTACGGAGCAAGGGGTTCGTGGTGGGCTCTCGAGGATTGTATCGTTGTTATCATTGTTGTCGTTGTCGTTGGTGTCGTTGTTGTTGTTGTTGTTGCTGTTGTCGTTGTCATTCTTGTTGTTACGATTGCTATTATTGTCAGAGGGGTTGTCGTGGATATGAAATTGTCGAGGCCGGGGGTGTTGTACATAATAATAATATTATATATATTATTGGACATGCCGGCCGGGGGCGAGGAGGGGCTTGCCATGTTACAAGGAAGACAAGAGTAAAAAAAAAAAAACCCCCCCAAAGCTTGGAAGCCTGGCTGTCACATCAGCGTCGGCGGGGCCGTGGTAACAAAGACATTGACAATTACGAGTGCTCAGGACTCAAAATGATGTGCTCTCTGTGTGTCCAGGGTGCGACGAGGCTCATATCCTAGATATTACGACTACAGAGTGTGATGCTCGTAGTAATACTCCGTTGTGTTAAGATGTACGGGTAAGCTGGGACTGATTAGCCAAGGGTTGTTTGGAAGTTTTTTTTTTCTTTTTTTCTTGTTTGGGAATATCATTCTGCGTACCCAATGGTGCACGTCTGTGCTGTGATTGTAATGCGGCTGAAAGTGTCAAGATGTCTAGGGAGGTGTGTGCGTAGTGTCAAGAGTGTGTAGTATTAATATAACTACTACAATGACTCGTAGGGCACGGAACTCTCCTCAAGTGCCGGTGCGGCTCAAAATGGCGGCTGAGAATCCGTCGGAGTTGGAGGAGCCGTTGGGTCTGAAGCCTGAAGGGGCCGTCTGACTGACTGTCTGAGATTTTGGAAATGTGTCGAGGATTGATGGCGGTAACCTGGTTGCTTGGTTGCTTGGGTAGTTTAATACCATGGTAATATTACTCGTATCCATATCAATTGACTGCTTTTAGGCTCTCCCCTCCTCTCCCTTGGCCGTGATTTCGCAGTGGTGTCTTGTCACCGCCTGATTCGACGTTTGACAGGATGTCGAATGGTGAGATTCCCCACCGCCGCGGGGATGATGAAGCCCAGCAGCTTTGAGAAGGAAGATGGGAGTGAGAAGGCATGGAATTATTGCGATTGCTGCCCAATGAAGTGGTCCAAGCGGAAATATGGCAATGCGGCGACAAGGCAGGGCACGTGGGAAAGGGAGAGGTTGTTATCAAGGTGCCAGGGGACCCCGGGAGGGAGTTCCCCTCAGGGGGAGGTGTCGTTTGAATCAAGACACGGGACAGTATACTCGTAGTATTACTCGTCGTCTGTACAGATTAGAGATGCAGAGTACGGAGGGAGGGGGGAGGGGGGGAAGAAGAAGCAAAAAGAAAGGAAGAAGAAAAATTAGGACCGATAGGCCTGTTTCCGAAGGGTGAGATAGGAGAGAGAGAGGGAGAGAGAGAGAGAGGGAGAGAGAGGGAGAGAGAGGGAGGGAGAGGGAGGGAGAGGGAGGGAGAAGGATAGATGGCGAAGTGATAGGAGTGAGTGAGTGAGTATACTCTCCCAACATTTACTACGGGATACTACTACCGGCAGAGTCTAGTAGTGTGCTAGTATGATATCGGGAAGGAGCGATGGTAAGGAGCGATAGTATCCAGGCGGTAAGTCGAATTGGGTAATCCGGAAGGGGGAGGGGAGGGGAGCTCCTTCCACATTGCTGAATGGTGAATTGCCCAATGTTCCTTCCGCGCTGGATGCTGCGATTATCACAAGCCCATCATGCTCGGCGATTCGGGGGTATTTTCCGATGGAAGGTGCGGAACAGGGCAGGTAAGTTCCAAGGTTGGATGGGATGGGAGGGTCAGGAGGGTTAGGAGGGTCGGATTCTGGCAGATTCTACATAGCACTCGTACGGATAAGATGGCACGGTGTATGGCATGGGATGCGATGGGATGGGATATGGCATGATGCCACGAATGCTAGGGAATCATCAAAGTCACACAAAAGTTGCGATTGCAAGCCTAGTCGGCGATGGTACCAGATGGCTGCATTGACACGGAAACAACATTTCTTTTCTCTCTCTCTTGCGTGGGTCTCGGTGATGGACCATGCATAAGAGAGGGGGGGGGGGGGAATACGATACAGAGACTACGAGAAGTTCTAACAGTATTATCGCAGTATTACGGGGCTCCCGTGCGGACATGGTCCGAATTGTTTTTTTTTTCCCGTTGTAATAACTACTGCCCAATAGAGGGCTGTGCTGATGCTTTGATAGGGGGGCCGGGCCATGGCCCATGACCAAGGGGTCGGTATGAAGTTTTATCTTCTTCTCCTTCCTGGTTTTGGGTTCTGAACATGGGTATGTCTCTATGTCTCTACGGGGTCCGAGTACGGGACAGACCCATGTCCCCGAAGAAAGCTTGAACAAGGAAGAGAAGAGGGCAGAAGAAGCAAAACAAACCAAAAAAAAACGCCCCGAAAAAAAAAAAAGTCCAGAAAGAGCGAGTATGGATGGATGAACGGACAGGATGCCAAGTTGCAGGGATCATCATGAGGCTCTGCCGCTCCTGGTCACTGCCCGGTTGGGCAAGCTGTTGACAAGGCTGGCCTGGAACCTTGGAAGTCCCGGTCCGTACAGGGCACGACTACTATGAGTAGCCGCCATTGCAGAGTACGGGATGGAGGCTTGAGGTTAGACTCTTGTTGAACCTAAGACTTGGGCACAGCCTTCAATCGATGAGCCATGGCAGCACGGAATCAGAAACAGGACCCGGGTGTCGGTCTTTTCGGGGCTGATCTACGTAGGGATCAGTGTGTGTGCACTCATTGCTCAAGGTGACGACGATGACGGTGATAGTGCTGCTGCAATACTACAGGTACCGCTGCCGAGTGGCTGTAATGTGTCTCTGATTCGTGATCATCCAGACGCATGAGTTGCTACCACCCTTATTACCGATACTACTCCCTACCTGTAAACTGTGATACTATTACTACCACTCCGTCACATGCATCGTGGACCCAGCTAGCTGTTCAGGTACGTGTGTCGTCTGTCTGGCTCATGTCTTGTCAGTGATCGATGACTAATCTGTGCGGCCCGAGCGCGTTGTGACAAGCTTTTCTTCTTCTTTCTTCTTCTCCTTCCCTTGCTGATCTAGCAGTGAGACACGAGGAGGCGGCAGTGCAGTTTAATTATAAATAATTTTTTTATCAGCATTTCATTATCATTTTATTATTTTATAGCGTATGTTATCATTGGCGGCGGCTAATTTCTCCTCTTTTTTTTTTTTTTTTTTTTTTTTTTTGGGGGGG